TAAGGCTAGTAAAGATATATCTCTTAAATAAAAAGTCCTTATTTTCTTATAGATTTATGCGTTTAATACCCCTTAAAGGCTTATTATAGCTTAATTTAAAGTCTCGTAAATATTAATATCTTAGATATTTTATAATATAATTAAACTAATATAGGATTTACACATTAAGTTTATTTATTAATTAAATTAAATATATATCTCTCGTTTTATATAACTTAATAAGAAATTCCTATAATTTAATAGTACTATTAGAGCGATTAATAGTATATATATTAAGGCATTCGTTTTAAGAAGGTAATAATAGTAATTTTAATCTTAAAAGCATTAAATATTATAAAATGTATTTATAGCTGTAAATTTTAAGGGATTATTTATATATATACTTACTAGCGCTAAGGGATTAATTAACGATGCTAAGTTACTTCGTCTTACATTAGTAAGGTCTTTTTAAGTACTAAAGGGAAGGTTTTACCTTAATAATACTAGCTTTAGCCTTAAAAAAGGTATATTAATGCCTTTTAGAGGTATGCGGTATTATTTTTAGGATTTTAAAGAGGAAAACCACCGGTTAATAACGAAAAAAGAGCTATATAACTATTATTACTCGTAGCTTTATATATAAGTTAAATAGTAATTTAAAAAAGCGAAACGTAAATAAAAGGTAATTTAATATAACGCGGTAAAGTATAAGTACCTAAATTAAATTTAATTAATTTATGCTATAATAGGTTTATTTAACTTTATTACGCTAAATAGCGTTAAACCTATAGTATTTAAGGAGGTAAAAATTATAGCTCTTAAAGATAATAAGCGTTTAGTGCTTTTAAAAGCTTGTAAGCGGGTAAATAAAGTGGTTAAGGCATTTTTAGTATATAATTTAAAAGAGCCTTTTTAACTTCTTTCTAGCCTAATACCTTTACTACTATTATAATTATCACATGATTTTTAATCTATAAGGTAGTAAAAGCTAAATTTATTATTACGATAAATTATAATATTAATTTATTACTTTTTCTCTTTATTATACCGCTTTAAACTAGATTCGCTATAAATCTCGCTAGTATTAGTGTTTTAATTAAGTTTAAGGTTAACGCTATAAGTGCTATAAAGGCGTCTTAATTATCCTATTTATTAAGCTAATTATGTTTTAAATTACTAGTAATAATAATAAAAGCGTTATTAAAGTTATTACTAGACTTATTAAATATAAGCCTAGAGCTTTTTAACTATTATAACTCGTAATTTCTCTCTATTACCTTTATAAAAGCAGCTTAATTACTAGCTTTAATTATATTTTAGCTGGTAAAAAGGTCTTTTATAAATATTTCTAACTAGGTATTAAATGTAATATTATTATTAATTAATAATAGCTTTTAAATAACTTAATTTACGATTTATAAGGGCTCTTTTACCTTAATTAGCTTAGTATTATTAAGGCTTATTAAAAGTATCCCCGTTTATTTATTATATTTAATGTTAAATTAATTTATTACTTTAAGAAACACTTACTAGAAGTTCTAAAAGTTATTTTCCTTTTTATTTAATATAATATAATTCTAATTATATTTAGGGAATTATTCTTAAAGATCTAAAAGAAAGCTAATAAATATAGCCTTTTAAATGCCTTTCTTTAAGCTTTTTAATTAACTATTAATTTAAGCCTTATATAAAAGTTATAAAAATCGCAGTTATTAATTATTAATCCACCTATTATAGGTTATTTATAAGCTTAAACCCTCTTAGATATTATAAGAAGGTATTATAGAAAGCTAATCTTAAATAATAGGTTAAATATAGCGTAATTTAAGTGGTTTAACCATTTATAACCTTTAATATTACTAAAAAGCCTTCCCTAGCTTAAAAAGGCGGTGAAAATTTAACCCCCTTATATATAAAAGTGGAAAAGCCTAAAAAAATCACTGTGGGACGGTATAAAGTAATATTCCCACTTTAAATTGGTGGAGCATGTACTGACCAGGGTCGAAAAGTTAACCTCAATTATTTGACCCCAATTCCGGGAATCACACCCTTAATGAAGCGTTTTGGTCAGCGCCTCGGATGATGGGTCAAGAAAGCACCAAGGGGAAAGTCCGGGAGCGGGAGCCTTCTGGAAAGCATCTGCAGATATGATTCGTGCATTTGGTAGGTAAATTGGCATCACCCACCAATGAAAGTAACGAATGCATTCGCCATTCACGAGTAAAACTACCAATGGGAGTGACATGTAGGGTCAACAGTGCTGGTGGACCATCCAGAGGTCGGCGGCTAGGGTGATTAGCGCAGGAACAGTGAACGAACTTCTACAGTGAGAGGCTGGCAGGCAGTGACAGAGCGATACAGTGAAAGGCTTGCAGTGGAAGGAACTGCAGCGGCAGACCTGCAGCAACAAGCACCGATGTAGTTCTTCATCAGTGACCATCCATCAGTGACCATCAATCAGCAATCATCCGTAAGCGCCCCAGCCATCCATCGGTGCCCATACACCAGTGCCCATCCATCAGCAACCATCCATCAGTGTCCATCGAGCCCAACCGCGTCCGCATCAACCGGAGCACTTCGACCAAAGGAGCACATCCGCCAAATCCAGCCAACGAATACAGTCAGCCCCTCCATCCAACCAGCAAATGCCATGTCATAAGCCCCATCCAGGCAACAATAAACAGCGTCGCTTGCACATTAATGCTCAGGAGAGCGATGCGATCACATGATAGGCTATAGTAGGGTGTAAAAGGTCTACGGGTACCCGTGTGGGTTGCTTACCCGTGGGCTTTAGGTAGGTATAGGGAAGAAAAAGGTTTATAAGTATTTATAAAGTATTTATCTTTATATTAGGTTACTTATAGTATACTTAAATTACCTATATAATAAAACGGGTAGCTCACGAATAACCCAAGAAAAACTTGGATACCCACGGGTGCCCACGGGTACCCGTTTTTACACTCTAAGCTATAGAGGCTTCTGAACTACGGCGATGCGGTGTGGAAAGCCATCTGGTGAAGCGTTGATCTGTTGTCGACATTGCAGTCCTCGCCTATGACCAGCAGTAGAGGTCATCTAGCGACGGCGTTACTGGTTCAGCGCAAGTGGGTCGCGCAGGGAGAGCAAAGCGCTACAGCTCTCCTACGGCGTTCGGCTCCCAGGCGAGTATTCATTATAAAGAATCAGGCAACCTTTAATCGAGCAGCATAAAGTTATGAAAGTTCGTCCAAGAGAGCTCACATCTGATTATAGCCAACAGGTAGTCATATCCGAGTGGTTTCATCGTAGTGAAAGACGCCCATAGTGAAAGGCAGCCAATAGCTAAAGAGTCACTGGTGTCGCTCCCCGTCGTAAGCCATCCAATCTGGCGGAATCGCACCAGACATTACAGCCTTGCGCCAAGCCCAGCCGAGCTTACAGACTGATTAATCCGATAGTGAGATCAAGCAGTCTGTTGGGGGTGGGGTGGGGATTAGAGATCTGAAGCAACCCAGGACTATATCTAGGGCATTTAAATTAAGCCGCCAAAGTGTAAGTTCAACTTGACCTAGAACTAATTTTCGTTGATGAGGTATATGCTGTATAAATCCACTGATGGCCGCTCCGCTTGATGCGGTATGCTGAAAATACACGTCAGCCAATATGGACAGCCAGCAAGCCGTACCCATGATGAATTCTTCAACTCCCTCGGATGAGTTGACCTCAGAACAAGTTTCTCTGTTAGAACCACTCATCCGGAAGAACGCATGGACGAGCTCACCAAGTCCTCTGAGATGCCGGGACGCCTCCACCCTTCAGAACGTGGAATCTGACCATCAAAGCCAATCCAACAGGGAGCAGAAGATGCCCTCCCATGACTGAAGTTGACTTGACCTCGACGGTTGGCCGCTATTATTAGCGCGCCGTGCTCCATGGTGCAAACATTCTCATTTCGGTCCCTTCCATGGCGGAACACGCCAAGCCTCTGGAGGTCTTCACCTATTTTCCAACGCCATCCGAGGTCGTTGCGTCGTACAAGACGAACCGGTTCAAACTGCACCTGTTCCAAGTGACAGGAGTGACGGACCAAAAGTCGCTAGCCAACTTCGCCTTTGGTCTCATCAATGGCGAAAAGGAGGAACATTTTCAGTGGCCTTGTAATCGCCTAGATGAGCTTCGACGCAGCGTTGGGGCTGATCTACCAGAGGTAGTCATAACAGACAAGGAACAAGCGCGCTAGCCAAGACCTTTCTCGACGCACAACAGCAGCTTTGTGTGTATCATATCTTGGCCAACGTTCGCGCCAAGATCAACGCTCTTTGGAAGGATGCCGAACATGATCACGACAACCTTGTGGTCGAGTCGGACGGGATATGACGAAGTCAGCCCTAGGCCCCTAGCAATGTACATGTCGATGACTCATCCGACATGGCAGACCTTCCTCGCCGCTTTACTTTACGCTCGGCAGTCGGAGTAGGGCAAGCCACAGGATCTACAGCTACTAGTCGTGTAGAAGGACAATTGCCGCTGCCAGGAAATTCAGTGACGAGGATGATGGAGGGTGCACACGGCGAGAAACGCATGTCCAAGACACCAAGTCCCTTTTGATGTTCTCTTGAGCCAGATAGTGTTGCTGATACCTTATTCGTACATGAAGTACATGTTGGGCCATCAGCCGCCCTCTCATTTCTGCAAGTCGTGCGCAGCAGACTACTCCACCACTCCGGAACGCTGTATGCGGAGCGAGACGGTCAGACTACGGCTCTGGCGGACGCAGACTTGTTGCCGCAGCATGCTGGAGACATCGTCGATCTGCGAGACTCTACACAGTTGTGGGAGTACATGTGCAGTTCGGGCAGCGCACGCATCGGGTCTTCACCATCAATCTTCATGCAGCTCTAGAAATGATGCAGAAGCACTGCAGCGGTAAGTCTTCAGCCCACGCCGGAGATGGCGTTCCCGAATTTGTCCCCGCTAATTCGGTCAATATCCATATGTCCAGCTTGCAGCTGTGGAAAAGTGTCTGCGGCCTTGACCTCATGATGTGCTCTATTCTGGGACGCCCCCCTGCCGTGGAAGCCACAGAACCTGGCAGTCAGATCGCCGGTTCTAGAGGGGAGCTGCCTTTCGACATGTATTCCAAGGCTTTTGAGGCCGCATTCAGGGCATCCAAACTCATTGGCGAAATCCTGAAAAAAATATATTCCTCAACATTATTAGAGCAAGAGGAAGCTTATCGATTCCTCGAGCGTCTTGCTGATTGGAAAGACTCGCTTCCCCATGAGCTTCAACGAGACATCAAACTTACTAGTAATCTATCCCAGAATGAGCGGGACCTTGATGCTGCAAGTATATACATTGCATGCCTCTATTACTACACCGTCATGTTAGTCTCGCGGCCATTTCTGGTCTCGCGGCTCACTTCAGCCGAAAACAATGCCAGCTATGCATCTGGCACTTTCTCAACCCATGCTGAAGATCCACGCCCGGACGAGCAGCTCGAGAGCATCGCCCTGGACTCTGCCATTTATATGAGCGAAACGATCTCCAATGCAGTTAAGATTAGTACTGTTTCCTTTAACGCCTGTTTTATTAAGTGAGTGAGCCATGCACTTATCCCTTACTTACCCCTGGGGCGATGTGGTTTCGGCACATGTTGCATACATTCCGGGGCGCGTATTCTAATTTCTAACAGAACCCGGCTCTTCTCGGCAGCTCTCGTATTGGCAATTTCCATGATTGTTGATCCCTCGGTAAGTTTCAAGGCGCAGCCAGCGTTTAACCTCGCGAAAGAGTCTTTCTACCTACAATCCGGCTCGAGTTTATACTCAGCACAGTATCACCAGATTCTGGAAGATATCGCTGCCATAATCAAAAGCTCTCATGCAACCGCGGCGCAAAATCAGAGTAAAACAAACCAGCGATACGTGGGCCATCTGCTCAAGTTTTCAAGTACGGAAATGTGTCAAGATGCGGCGCAAAGCGTTACTCTCAATAGCGATGCTTTGGAGACTCTGGACATGCCCTCGATCGATGATAACCTGAACATGTTTCTGTCGATTGGAGACGAGGGGATTACTAACCAGCTCGGATCTTTGGTCAATTGTGACGTTGATTCATTTTGGTACGACCTAGCTAGACAGTAAAATAACTTGTCTGAGGAGCAAACACTTTACCGAACTCCGAGAAATACTTGTTAGGGTAAGGTTATTTTGCGCGGATGCTGCAGGCTAAAATCCAAATTCTTCTTATTACGACGGGTGCATCTCACAAAATAATGTTGGTTGACAAATCCCTGAATCAGGGGTGAGCGTGTTGAGCGCGATGCTAATAGCCAACGTAGCAGAAGAGCATGCAAGGCCAAGGTTGAATACTAGTAAGACTGCGCCGATGGCTGAGAGCGCCCTTCCGCCGAGGACTTTGAGGGCATCTGGGAGGTTGTCGATGTGTGGGTACCTGCGCCAGTAAAGCAGGAGGGCATAGGCAGTGTAGGTTGACAGAAGACCAATAGAGCGAGGATTCCAATGCCCACTTGCCCAGGACGCGGAATTGTTTGCCAGCAGCGGCGGCAGCGGCACCGAACACGCCGAGTTTGGTCGCATCATGTTGACCAACAACGTGGCCGTCTTGCCTAAAAGGTCGCTGTGAGGCTTCGCCGTGTCATGCTTAGTCTCATATGCTGCCCCACGGTCGCCGACTTTTATTTGGCTTTGAGCATCCATAATCCGTATCATCACTGGACCGCTGAGGGACGTTAGGTGTGTCGGTATTAGCTAGAACATAGACTTTAATATATATTATTATAATAATTAATGCCACTCTAAGTGTGACACGTAAGTAGATCCAGTAGAAGCGGGTTAGGGTTACGGTACCTTGTATTATCATATATGTGGTGTGGCCTCGCCGGCTGAAGGGGCTGAACAGTGAAGCTGGGCTGCATTTATTGATTTTAGGGTCTGGTGTCCTTCCTGGATTTGGCATGGCTGCTTCTTCCACGAACCGGCGTGCTCCAAACAGCACTTTTATTGGATAAGCACCGTCTCCATTCAAGTACTCTGTGGAATGATTCTTGACACGTCCTATTTAGGAATGACCTTGCTTCCAAGTACGAAAACAAGCCATTAATTGACAACAGACCTTGTAGTCTCTATAGGCGTAATACCAAAAGAAATAGATAAGACGTCTTGATTCGAAATTATACGACTATTCTTACCAGAGGCTGCCAGACGGCGTAATAATTGGACTCGACTCGGATATGCAGCCTACTAGGATCAGTCATCTGAAGCACTGTTGACGTAATTACTCCACTGAGAAAAAGTAGCCAGATGATGAGTATCACGACAAGCACCCAGTCGGCCAGTATAAGGAATCGAAAACTCAGCGACGGGTATCCTAGCTTTACTGCTTCTTCCGATTCAACTGGCTCTATGTACTTGTACGGGCTACCGCGGCTGCGTTCATCGTCGTCCGGCGCTGGGGATATAAGTTATATTATGCTCCCGAGACGGAAGATGTTGAACATTGATGCCAGCAGATCAAAACTTATAAAAAGCGGTGTTATGCAATGTAAAACACCGCTACCAGCAGCCTTCTAAATAACCCATGTGATAAATACCAATGGGAATGCGAAAAATAAATCGACTTGTATTGAGACCGACGCCTGAGCTTCAGCCTTGTTTCTTACATGCCATGTCCACCGAGTACTTGTGGGCTATCGTGTTCCACGTAAAGAGCGTCAGCTCGGAAGATCACCTGTACGCTTCCACGCATCAAGAGGTATGACTGGTCTGGCCCGTTTTGCAGTCGCATCGATACGCAAGATGCACTGTCAATACCCCTTTTCCATGTATACTGTACAACGACTCGCCGCACAGTTGTTTAAGTTTGACGTCATTCCCTCTCTCTCCATCCGCAGCTTGTGGTAATCCCCTCTTGTTAACAAGGATCCTCCTGCCATGCATGTTATGGCATTTTCTATTCTTGTTACACTTCTTTTTTATGTCTACTATAGAATAATGTCAAATAAAGCTAGTGGTACTCGGCCTCCCTGTTGGCTTTTACTTCGCAAGGGGGAGAGCATCGGGCTGGGCGCCTATATACATACGAGGGTTCAGAAAATACAACAAGGTTGAGGGAGTAGCTAAAGCCACTTTGTGTATGACATGCAAAAAGGGATTCCGGCAACCAATAAAAACGACATGGTCGTTAGTGACCCTTGAATATTTGGCGGTTGCAGCTGAACGGCTGTAAAACAGTACATGAATAGCGGCGCTTATGCGCGCACTTTCGGTCAACACTGTTGCCACTCAGTCAGTAGTCTGTTGAGACATCTTCACAGACCCTAACAAGTGTAGGGTATACGGCTCCCTCCGGTCTTCAGTCGTCTAGCCTTCCACGCGTTAAAGTATCTCTCGCAGTCGTGCTGGATCACAGAAAAAGGGATACCAACTGCCTTTGTCCTTCTTAAGCGTACAAGATAAAAAATGTCAAGGAAAAGTGCGGCAGGATATGGCATTTCGACAAACATCTAAGAGCAAAAACCCCTGTACTTATTAACATAACGTCGTGTTAGTCAACACGACCGTCACCATCAGACGGTTCCCTGGAATAGGATCACCAACAATTCGATAAAGTGCCACGAAGTGCCGCGAGTCAACGGGTGGCATGGTCTTCAAGATTCATTCTATGAACCTAATTTCACCCCCAGCCGCCGAAAGCAGGCAGATTGCCAGAAAAAATCAAGGGCATCAAATTGTCAGGGAACCAGAGCGACACTCCATCATCTTGCTTTGGTTTTAGAATGACAATTTCGATTTGCCCTCCTTCGCAAGCCTTCTCCAACTCTTCTCATAACCCCTGCCAAGTCTAAACTCCTCGGCATCACTCTGCACTCTCTTCATCAACGCTTCTCGCCAACCGCCCTTCGTATCGTCCATCCAAACCGGAGTCTCCCCCAATGTCCAAGACAGGAATCTCTCGGCCCTAGCCCCGTCCAGCGCCTCGAGAAGGCCAACCGCCACGTCCACAATCTCAGGCCTATCCCCGGAAGCGTAAAAAACGGCCGCGGCGCAAACTCTGCAGAAATACCGGTCCGCATCCGGCGATGACTGGTAGCAGGCCAGCGTTCCAACTGCCGCGTCACCCGCGTCCACGGCCGTCTTGAGCTCCGTCATTGTCCGAGGGAACGGACCCCCATTCGCCTGGGATATGTCGGCCAAGTTTGTAAATGTCCAGTGGACAATATCGTTTCCAAAGTGAAGGCGGCACGAGTCGCAGGCGTCGAAACTAGCAAGTCTTTTGTTGTTCCTTGGGTCGATGTACCACGGCAATTCCTCTCTTTCCCTGCCGGCATAGTCTCCGTGATGAAGAACCAGGTTGACGCCCTTGCAATGGCAAGAAATACCTACAGACTCTTGCACCGGCTCGCCCCTGGGTTCTGCCAAATTTGAGACCCCTGGCCAGCTCCAAGGTATTTGTCCAGAGCGCTTCAAGTACCGAGGGATCTCCTCTCCGTCAGGATTTGGCCTCCTCAGCCATACCGACGCTCTACCGACGCTCCGCCGTCGACAGTATCCTCGACATATATGTGGTTGGTGAGTTTGATCGGGGCGACCTCGATATTCTTCAGTGGGCCGCTGAAGACACCGAGATTGCCCGGATCCCAGGCCAACTCGGAGAACATGGGCGTCGAGCATGTCACGCAGAATAGATTGGCAATGTTTGCAGAAAACTGGTATTTGTGGAGGCCGCTGGTGTTGACATCGGCACGCGGCTGCGGCCACGTCGATTGAAGCACATACAGCGCGCCCGTGGAATGGCGACAAGAATGACAGTGGCAGACATTGCCCTCCAGGGGAAGTCTCGATTGGGGTATTTCTGTGCCGAATGAGTGTCTTTTGCAGAGGCACTCTGCGGTGATTCTGACTGTTGATTCGAGGTCCATGATTCGTTCACGATCAAGCGCCGAGGGAGAGTGATGAGGCGTGAAAGTTGAACGCGGGGTTCCTTGCATATAAGCAACCAGTGTAAACCCAAGCTGATGGACCTCTGCTTTGGCTTGCGCTAACATTTTTGTTAATCCATATTTGGCTTGCTTTAATTCTCAACAGCCTCATACGATGGCCAAGATCGCGGACGGGGGGTTCTTACCAGTGTCCCGCTCCATCAATTCAAATGGAGGACAATGGTTGTCAGTAGCCTTCAACCCATTATTGCGAGTTCGCATTCAAAAACCGTGGTGCCGTAGTTTTATTCATTCAATTACTCCAGGACTTATTGAATTCCCCACCTCAAAGCCAACTTTACCACCCTCAGCCTTCTCTAATAGATGAAAAGGCACACCTTGGCAAGTCTTTTCATAGTGGTACGCATCACGCTCATCTCTACCGCTCGACAACATGCACTGATAACGCAGCTGCTTCCGTGGCACTCTTTGCCATGAGACACACTGAACCCCGATGCGCAGAAATAGCACACGGGGTCATCAGCCCAATAGTAACTACATAGCCACTATGCTTTCGCAATTGGAAGAAGTGCCTTGGGCTATTCGCCATTCGACGCTTTCATTTACCCTCCTTTTATCTTACTCCGCGGGAGGTCTGATTTGTTTAAACCAATATAGAACAATTGTCAAACAGAACTCTCCCACAGGAAACAATCAGCACTTCACAAACGCCAACAAGGAGAGATAAAATAGCGCCCAGCCAGCGGTGGGGTTCAGCATGAATCGACAGGAATTCTTCATCTCAAAAGGCGAGCACCAAGCGCTTAACCATGCCGATCACTCAGCACATACGAGGTTGCAAAGCACGCGCGTTGGAACCATCAGTTCTGCATGAAAGCATCTTTGCTTAGATAAGAATAAAACATACGAAACATCCAGCATCATTGTCCTCCCTTCCGCCTCGGCACTCTCTCCTCATGTACAACAGACATCAGTAATGCATCGTCGTGATGGCCCCAAGCACAGGCAGTAGAAAGGCCATTTCAATCGCATGACAATGCTTCAGCAGGCGGCCAAAAGAAAAATAAACAAAATGAACAAAATCCTAGTTTTATAAAGAAGACCAAGATCGTAAAGTATCATGTGACATAACATACAGGTGAGAAGCGAAATTCACGACACCCTGCTGAAGCTCCCCGTCCATGACCCGGCATCAACCACGGGACAAAACTGTCAATGTAGCTTCCCTCCATACTTGGGATTGCACTTGCAGAGTGTCGTGGGGTATGTGCATAGTACAATCACTGACAGTTCTCTGCTATTAATTGGGCGCGAGAACGTTTTTTGGGTACTGGGCGACGACGTTGCCTAAAGTACATATGTAAGAATCCGACTTGAAAGTGACAGGAGATACTAGTGGTCAATTTCTTACCTGGGACCTTATAGTTGCAGACAGTATACCATGACTCCAATGACAAAGCCGTCCCTGCTTGGCATTTAACAGTTGCACAACCGACACTCAGTGTCGCCTTCCAGACTACCTGAGTGAAGTGGCCATAGTCGCCAAGAGGAGTGTTTCCAGGGCCAGTTTCATAAAGGTTCTGGTAGTTGCCCACCTCGCCGTTGTACCACATGTCGCCCACGGCCTTGACGCCAAAGTCGGTCTGGCTGTCACCGTTGGTGGAGGCGGCTGCAAGATTCTGGCCATAGCCGCCACCATCGACATCCCTGCATTTGTGTGAGAGATTGTTTCAACCATGTTATTTCCTTTCAAAAATGCAATGACTTACATCTGATGCTTAAATATGCAGGTGTTGGCAACCTTTGTAGCAGAATCGGCAAGACCCTGGTCCCATTTTAGGTCCGGAGAGGAATGCTTGCTACGGCACTCGTTGTGTATTTGGACCATTTTGTCCGCGTAACTGCCCGAGTTGCCGGACGAAGGCGACGGGGAAGGTGCAGCAGAAGTAGTCGAGGGAGGAGGTGCAGCAGAAGTAGTCGCGGGAGAAGGAGGGGGAGCGGCAGACGTGGTTGGGATCTCGGGTTTGGGCTGAATCACAGTGGGCTTAGGCGGTTGTGAAGAAACTGAAGTCGAAGACTTGACCTCCACCGAAGGAAAATCAGGAGATATAGGCGTGGGCTTGATCTTTGGCGGAGCGGAAGGAGTAAGAGTGACCACCTCGGTCTCGACGAAAACCGCGGGATTCGCCGGAGTAGGTTCAGAGTCGTCTGCGGTGACAGTAACGGTAACGTACTCGGTAACCCATTCAGTCGTCATGGCACGCATTTTCAAGGGACCAGCGGTGGCCAGTACAGCACTGGCAGCCACGGCGAACAACGAAGACTTCATATTGAGCAGCCTTGGTGATCTACCGCCAGGTTAGCTTGTGAGCATTTGGAGCATCAGCAGTATATATAAAATGGCCAAGGTGTTGCCGGGGCCGCATTCGTCCATGTCTCAGCAGAGGACAATGAATGGAAAGCAGCGACAAATGCAGCTGACGCCATCTTGACGCCGTCGCTCGTCCAACAAAACCAGCGGCTTCTTGTCAGTCGCAACCTAGAATCGTTGGATTGCGGAGTCGGGTGGCTGGGTGACAAGAGGCGCTGGAATGTTGCAGAGATGGGGAATGCCGAGTCGAATCAATGGGTTTGACGACAGACCCCGAGAGTCAAGGCGGCCGCTTTCGGACATGCCAACAAATTGGACAATGTTGTTAGCTTTCTCACCATGTAGATGGTGGTGTCTTGGTGGTGTGAGCGTGCAACTGCTGATGTATATGACGTTGCGATACACAAGACCTGCGGTCACGGCCAAGTAGAAGTACACATGCCCATCTGACAAGCACCATGAGGGACTCTGGGAGAGAGGAAGAAAAAGTGGAGAAATGACAGAAAACAAGCAGGAAGTGCAGCTAGAAGGGGTAGGAAGTCCAAATGCCTACTACCTTTTGTAAGTGTTGGACTGCGAAATGACTCTTGGCACGGGAAAGGTTTAACTGTTGCGGATATAGTATGTTGTCTTCTTCAGAACCAGCTGGGCAGCACTGCTGACGTTTTCGTATGGCTTCTTGAAGCACGGAGGAACCACACTGTTGATAGGAAATCGGCAAGGCGGAAGGCGTCAAGAAAGGACAAGAAGATGATGCGAAAGTTGACGAGAGGAACCTCAGGACGTAGTTTCGCAGACTGGCAATGCGCAAGCAGTAGCCGCACAGCAGAAAGTCTGAATAGGTAAAATCACAAGGAGCGTAACGTGCCGTCAAGGACACACAAAGGAGCGGAGGGCGAAAGGCTGTTGAAGGAGTGAAGAGGAAGAAAAAGAGATAGCAGTGCCGTCTAGGCAGTCGACAACCAGGTCTTTCGCTTTGGGGAAGATGAAGAGGGCGGGCGGAGGGTGGATTAAAGAAGAGCAGCACTTGAGACGGCGCGGCCGTGCGATGCTAATAAGGAAGGAACGGCCAAGTAGCACGAAGAGGTGGCTGCCCGTTGCAGAGAGCCAAGTAGGAGCCAATTTGGCCAAGCGCAAGCGACCAGTAGGAACCAGCCAGGATCGAATTGTCGACATATGGAAGTGGAAGCAAGCAGAGCAAACATTGAAGCGCGGCGCCAGCAGTCTCCACACTCAGCAAGGACTACGAACACAGAGTCGACTCACATCGGACAGACAAGCAAGTTCGGGTTCAACCAGTGATCAAAGAGCCTGGGGCATGGAGCCTGGTACCTGGCACTGGGCAAACGAACACGCGAAACGAACACGTCCGAAGAGGAGTGAACCCGGCGACCCTTGTCCCCTGCCCAGACGAAGCGACTCCAACCGTTGACCTTTGAAGGTCTGTCCACTCGGAGCCACCGCGCCCCTGGCGCTAATCGCCTAGTGCCTGCTAGCGCTTTGGGGCCATGGCATCGGATCAAGCACTTGACGGTGCCGTACCAAATGCATCACCATCTTGGCTCTTTGCACACTAACTTCATCAGTCCAAGCCGAACCGCCTACCGCCGATTTTTTTTTTTTTGGTCATTCTTGGTAATCTCCCGTCACAATTAGTACCGAATTCAGAAGCTGGGGATTCTCAATGTCCGGCTGCATCTCTGTCCATCGAGTTCAGTCAGGGTAAGTAACCATGTTCATGTTGCCTGTGGAACCAAACTCATTTCAAACTCACATACTTTGACAAAGTACTAGTAATCACCATAAAATTATTCATGGCTCCCTGTGTCATGATGGCCAAAAGCAAGCCAGGCGCATCATCCTTTAATATGAGGTATATTTGAGTGGCGCTGCCTCTGTTCCACAACAAACACGTTTACCTTGCAGTATTCAACATTTTTGATGTTTGTTTATCAAGCAAAGCGGAAACCGCCACACAGCGACGGATGCTCAAACCAAAAGCGTCAGTGGTGTGAAGAACATGGTCTGTGAATCAGACTTGATGATGGCGGCGGGGAAGGACTGTGGGTTATTGTTCTGAGGCCATTGTTCATATATTATGGAGCACATTCTGATGATAGTATGTAATTGCTTGTTGGCATACTCCGCGTAATAACCAACAGGCAGTCCTAACGTCACTGTGCAAGCGTCGACGCAGATGACTGCTGTACAAGTAATTGTCCAATAGTGAGACGCAGATACAACGCACTCGCACGGCTCCCCCACCAATATTTCCCCTTTTCTTGCCCTCCTTGTGCTAGAGTTGCACGGATTGAAGAAGTTGGCGGACCAATCATATCTTGCAGTCTCGAAGGGTCCCATCGAACAAGCTACCAACGATGGCGGGGCTCTTCGTCCCTGAAACATCCCTCATCTCTTGGGATGCTGTCGAGCTGGCCAGTGGTCCGCGACTCCACTCTCCTCCTGGCCCTTTTGTCCTTTGTCATCTCCTGCTTTGCTCCATGAGAGAAGCCATGTTCGGGTCGCCTTGCCGACTTCCGGTGTAGGCTCTTTACCATTCGATCTTCGTCCAGGGTGCACCGGGGAGACAATTTGCTTCTTTTGCTGAACATTTACGAGGGTCAATTGTGGTACCATGACATTGAGGCGTCAAAGTCTGCGGGTTGCTGGCATCAACGATATCGTCGGAAACGTCCCCACCACCGCAGTTGGCAGATTCTTCAGAGACGACGTTCTCGCTACGGGGGCGGCTCTTGATTTCCCGGCGCTATTTTGTCCAAGCACAAAGTTTCTTCCGTTGCTTCTCTTTGGACACTGGTGACTTCCTTGTCTCAAACAAAGTGCTTTGTTTGTGCTGGTCTGCTCTGGATCTGCTCTCGCCTAGGCCTGCGTGCGGAGGAGGAAGTCTTTGACGTCAACTGGTCTTTTCTTTGAGACAAAGGTAATGTGGGCGCAAATCTCAGTTAGCCTATGTTTTTTAACGGACCCGACGAAATATTCCGAGACGAACCCCATGTGCTGTCGAACACTGCTCGAAGCTGAGGATGGGGGGCGACACACTACGGTACACCTTGCAGAAGCAGAATATTACATTTTAGTCTAGCACTTTTCTCCCGGGTTAGTTTCGTTTCCAAAGAGCCATTGCTTTTACATTCCAGGGCACAGTTCCAGACACAGGACGGATTCACAACCTTAACAAACCCCTTCACCCCGGCGACAGCGTGGATCCGTCCACAGAGTGGAATGCAACTACTAGCCACAATTGAATTGTCCTCCCGCTCACAGCATCCTTAAAGCAACATTCCGTACTTGGCGAAAGGGTCTGACTTAAGCGACATGCGGATCAGGCCGTGTTATTGTACCACAGCTCGTGTATAGCATGGAAACTGTGACAGCCAAGCGATTCCCGACTTTCTGCTCAACCAGCTACTTTGTTGTACTCTATCAAGAGCATGTACCGAGGCTCAATTGGCAGGCCGCCACAACCTCGCGACATGAAGGTACTTTACAAGTTAGCGGTGAGGATTTCTGGGGCTCATTGTCGATGCACAGTCACGGATCTGGCTACGCTTGGGGACAGATGCCGGATCTGCAACGAGTCAAGCTTTACAATATGCTTTTGCGGGGAGCCTAAGGCTTTTGAAAGTCTCCTAAGGAGGGGGGGAAAGTCGAAGCTTTAGGCAGAGATGGTTGGCAGGATCGATATGATTTGCTATTGACACAGCGGATTGAGCAGAGCAAACTCAGAATGTTAAGGCCCTCAGATAGAGTTATGTAAAAGCACCCCCGGTCGTGTTCCCACACAAGGCCCAGCCATCTTTGCTGTACTCCGTACGAGGGACGTGAAGACATGATGTTAGGTGCGGGTGCTCACCCGATAGTAGTTCAGCGGTTGGGGTTAGTGGGTAATGTAAGGGCTAGGGTTAGGAGTCAGGGTTAGCCTCCCAAAGGGATGGGATATGAATTAAACTGGAGCTAATATCGGATGAGTTCTCCGTACTCCGTAGTGCGGTCTACTATCATTTTATGTACCGCCACACTCCGTACGGTCCTACAATAAATATATTCTCTCCGGATGCTTTTGCAGAGACATGTGGATAACTAACTCCTTGGAATACATAAGCGCATTCATGCAAAAAGGTCTGCCTTTTCAGGACAGCTGCGCTCCGGAGCACTCCCTAAGGTGCTCTCTGCAATCCTGCCTGATGTCGCCTCCTTGGGATGTATATGGTGCTTGCTGACTTTGCTGACTGTACAGACCCATCCCTTGGGCTCGCAGAGTGCCTTACTCCTTTCCCAAAGTTACCCGCTCGAAGCTGTATCCAGCTCCCAGGTGATAAATGGTATGCTATAACTCGTTTTCCTTCCTCGCGTGCCTGCATAGGTACATGGCCCATATTCTCAAGTTTTTCCTGTCAGCCCAGGGTTCCACGACACGTGGCAAAACACGTCAGACACGTCTGTCGTCCTCGAGGTCGCCAAGAGCATGACTTTTGCGAGGTTCACGAAGTGGCCATGGCTTTTTTCCCTTGCTTGGTATCTCCGCCAGCTGACTCTTCGGCCCAGTCACCGCTGAAATGAAGCAAGGATCGTAGGATCCCCAGATGCGAGCCCTCCCTCCGTGTTGTACGAGGCGCCGTGCCCCTTACCGACGGACACAACATCAGATGAGGCATGTCGGCCTTCTGCGAAGCCCTCACATGGTCTCCATCGTACCGATTGGCCCAAGAGCTAGTCTCAAACGACAAGGTGCTTGCGGGCAAATAACTGACAAGCTGTGCCCATCACAAATCCTGAAATCTGCCCCTACCACTCCGTATTTCGCTTCGGGACAATGGCTGGAAGTGGCTCTGCATGGTCATCGTCTCCGTCATTTCACAGCTAGGATTCCTAGCATGCATCATAATAGCTCTCCCCCAAGCATAGTCCAGCACGGTGTGATACTCTACCTCCATGCCATCAGCCCCCGAGGCCCAACAAGCGGACCTCATCTTAACAGACGACGCCATCTCGTTTCACAATGATGTCCACTGCGCCGGCCGGTTTCATCTCATGTACAACCCCCCTCCCCCACCCCAAAAGGGAGGCCAGGAAAGAAAAATATGGCGTCCAGTAGGAACACAGACCGATTAGGTGGGATGGTTTCATCGCCATGATTGACGATCGATGTTCATCGGGCGGGAAGTGAGACAGTGGATACAGGGGCCGCATGTTGAGAGATATTTTGACCAAAGTATGCTACACCAACGAATTAGAGCGCGGCATCTTGTGTTCAGTGTATCATGTCTTTAATTCGCGCGACAATGCTTATTACGAAATGCGATTTCGCAATTTCGACGTGTTGCTGCCCTATTACACAAGTGATTGGTGTAGGGTAGTTATTTAGTCTCGGGGTGGTGAAATGACCCTCAAGGTGGACGTGGGCGAGTTCACGATTTTGCGTGACAAGTGTATGAATTGAAATACCCATCTGGCCTCTCTTTCTTGCTGCAAGCTCAGGCTGATGAGCAAGTTGATTCTATCTATTCCATGTGAGTTTATTCTCGTTGTGATAGTCTGAGCTGAAAGCCCGACCTTGCCTGTGGACGTGGCTGCATAGCATTAGTTTGTAAGCGACTAGTTCGCAATAGACAAATCAGGATACAAGTCCAACGTGACCATTCCAGCCAAGTTTCTCTTCAAGTATAATATTTTCCTATCCACAAACAATCGTCTCTACCCGTCTGTAGTCTAACCAATGTGCCTTTTATTTCACTGCTAAACTGGGCATAATCCATACACAACCTCTACAGCTTTGCATTCAGAGTTGCCGTCGAGCCAGCCCCGACGGCCTCTGCATTATGTCGTCGCCACATATTCTTCCGAAGCTCATGACCGTCGAGAAACTCTCTGAACCACTCCCGCCTAAACCTGGGTAGCTTCCTGCCGACGCCAGGCTCGCCCTCTCCCGCCAAGCTCCGCAGGTTCTCAAAGTAGTCTTCGAAATCTGGGAAAAGAAGAGAAAACCTGGCCCCGTCCCCACGCTTGCTGACCCGGTCCGCCTCCCACCGTCGCATCTCATCCAGCTGAGGCAGCGGTGCCGCGCGGTTTGCCAGAAGCCTCGCCACGTAGACGGCCTGCCACTCGAAGACCTTGAAGGTCAAGCCGGCGTGCACGGCGCCGACAAAGAGCAGCGTTGGATCGTGCTGCCAGACAATATGCTGCCACAGGTCTGGGACCCGATTACCGCGAACGGGCACTTGCGGTAGGAACGGGAGCGTCCAGCTGTATCCGGTGCCGAAAATGATGTAGTCGACGTCGGGGATGGTCTTGTTGTCGATCAAGTGTACCGTGCGGCCTTGGACCTTGGCTATGGACGGTCGCTTCTCGATGTTTGGATGCTCAAAGGCCTCTCCGCCAAAGTAGCCATTGAGATTGTGGCCGATGGTGATGGCGTGGACTGGGAATGCGGCCGTGTCGACCAGGTCGAATGCTATATCTGCTGCTGAGACCGAAGCCCCGACAACCACGACTCGCTGCAACAAACGGCCCCCATTAGTAGGTAGTTGGTTCCCAAGGTTGAGCTGAGATTCTGATGAGGGCGGCCTACCTTGTCCCTGAACTTGTCCTTTCCGCGGAAGTGTTTGCTGTGCATGACACTGCCGGGACGGGACTTCTCAAACTGCTCCAAGCCCTCGACGGCAGGAATATAAGGCACCGAGTAGTGACCGCTCGCGACGACAACGGCGTCAAACCACTCTGTCCACCAGTAATCACTGTTTTTGCCCTCCCTGCGTAACGTCACCTTCCACTCGGACCCAATCTTGTCTACTCGCTCGACTGTGGTGTTGAACGAGATTAGGTCCTCGTATCCATTGCGCTCGCACAAGCTAGTTATATAAGACCTCACTACCGCCCAATGGCGGAAGGGTGAGCCGTCTCCGTATAGAGCTCTTGTTCGCTCACTGATGTCTGCGGGAAAAGGCTCCTGGGAGAATTGCATGGCCAGATGGCTGACATTGGTTTCGAGGTACGGATAAACAGACGATTCGGTGAACCGTGGCTGGCCCGACTTGGGAGCAAAGGCAGGAAGAGTTTTTGGAATTGCAACCGGGGCGTCGGCCGTTCTGTCGGCCAGCGACTTGAAATCCGACAGCGTGGGAGGCGGTAGAGTGTCGCCGACCCTGCTCCTCGTCAATGGGTAGTCGAGACAGAAACCGAGGCTATTCACTTACCAGCAGCCTCCCGGACGCTCTCTTCGCTCAAATACGCGGATCAGATCAAACGCATTCTCTTTTGCAAGGGCGTCAAGAGCAATCGCGCCAGCTGGGCCGGCTCCAATGACGGCAACACGCTCAACAGTTACACCAGGCATATTTGTATACAGGTGCGGATTGCAAATCGTCCGCGTGGACGCTGGCTGGCGAAGGCCTCACATTTCAACCATGGCTGGAACACATCTGCAGCCATGCAGACTGGAAGCTTTGTGCGAGTGCCCATGTCCCTGCAAGCAAGCTATCACTGAGCTTCATCACGCCATCGCCTCGACGACAACGCTTCCCCACTGTTCGCTCGAATATCGACGATGCCATTCATGCGCACTGTACGTCTTTTGGAATCAATTTGATTCGTGTGAAGATACAATTATCCTTATCGGTAGGGCCAAGGAATTGCGTGATGAAGATGGCATGTCGGTGGAGTTGCCGAATAAACTACCGGGGAAGCCTGCCAAGCACTGCAATGAATAGTGCCGCCGGGAACAGTTATTAAACGACCGAGATGCTTATACTTTTGTAGCTGTATTTCATCAAGTGAAATAGCACCAACTCTTTGCACAGGGGAGGTCTTTCTTGCCTTGCGAGACAATGTCCAAGATGCGGGTGGAAAAGGCGGTTGTCGAGGACAGCTCGTCCGCCGAGCAAGGGAACCCAGAGGGGCGACAATGGGATTCAAAACTAGAGAAGCAAGCACGGTGGAAGTGAGCCAGAATATTCCGAGATTAACCACGTTTCACGGGACACAAGGAACTTGAATGAGCTGACATCCCTCCAGAGTCGACTGCTCCGTCCTGGCTCTCCTTTTCCTCGGCCTCCTAGTCTTTCAACTCGACCGCATGAACCTGGCCAGCGCCCTCACAGCGGGTTTCGCCAAAGACATCAACATCAGCCAAGACACGATCAACCTCGGCAACCAGCTCATGTTCATGGGAATTGTCCTTTTCGAAATCCCGTGCAATGTGGCCCTACAACGAGTGAGCAAACACACCAGCCCCAAGCAACAGCCCAACTCCGATAAATTGACTCGAGCTAGTTTGGACCGCGAAAGTGGATGTCCGCCCAGGTATTCATGTTTGGCCTCGTGGCAACCATGCAAGTCTTCCTTCGTGGCCGCACCGGCTTCTTGCTGGTCCGGCTCATTCTTGGCCTGAGCGAAGCGGGATATATCCCCGGGGCCGTGTACACCTTGTCAACCTGGTACCGCAAGCGGGAGCTGTCCCGACGAGTGGCCATTCTCTTCTTTGGCATGTTTGGCGGCAATGCCATCAGTCCCCTCTTGGCGTCTGGTATTCTGAAGCTAGACAATGCCCGTGGCCTTCGTGGTTGGCAATGGCTTTTCATGCGTGAGCCCCCCCCC